AGCAGTTAACCTGACAAACGCAAAACCATTCGACGCAACAAAAGCTGAACTAAAAATATGGGTGAGAGAATCCCATAAGGCCTCTTGGAATAATGAAACAGAGTGTAGAACCACGAAGATTCTATGGTGTGACCGTGATGAGAGCAAGACGAAAAATCTCCTCAAAATGAGCAAGTCTGAAGTTAGTATGATGGAACGTATTCTGAGTGGACACACAGGATTACGACCACATCTCTGCAAAATTGGACGCGCGGATTCAGACGAATGTAGAGCATGTGGAGAGGACAGTGAAATTCTGGAGCACTTTCTTTGCCTTTGCCAGGCATTCGTCGAAGTTAGATCCAAGTATCTTGGAAGTGATGTTATTCCGGAAATAACATTCATGACTAACACTGATTGGAAGATTCTTAGGAATTGCTTTCAGGATACTGAGTTTCTGAACACTGAAAAATAATTCATTCAGTGAATTTTTTTCATGATAAGGAGCGCACAATAGGCCTGGTAGTGGCCTAGGTGTATTTCTTCGTATTTGATGTAGTATACATCCTCCTATCAACCTAACCTATTTTTAAATATTCTAATTTATTGTTTGCTTTGCTTTCGTCACACTTTCGTAATTTTGGTAGTTGCTTTATTTCTATTCTGCTTTCAGAGCATAAAGATCGTGTGCGATTACTATCACACATGTTAAGCGTTGCCACTCCCAATGATTTATTTTTTTTTATATTTTATTCGAAAGTAATTGATTTTTTAAAATGTTAGCTTATTAAAATGAAAATATTTCTTTAATAAAAAATAAATGACTACATATATGTCTAAAACTTACAGCTAATGGTAAACAAAAATGTAATTTAAAGCATTTTAGTAATGTTTTTTTGTAAGATAATAAAATAACTACTCAAAAAATTAACACAATTTGTAATTTAACAAATATTTAAAAAATTAAGATATTAATTCGTTTATAAAATATTTAAATAAATATATCTATATATATAAAAATGAATGTGTGTTTATTTGTTTGTGGGTTTGTTTGTTTGTTTGAAGTCTATAGACGGCTAAACTGCTGGACCGATTTTCTTGAAATTTTCACAGTGCCTTCCTGTATGTCTGGAAGGAACTATAGGCTACTTTTTATTTAGAAATTTTAAGTGGGCGAGGTGCCACGCCTACATTCAAAATAATAATTAAAAGTTGCATATCTCAGAAACTGCAACAGCTAGAGTCCTCAGATTTTGTATGGACAACTTTGACATCCATATGAACATGTGTGGAAAAAATGGGCGGCCTATCTATAGTGGGCGTGACACCTCCCATATAATAAATATGAGAGGAGGTAAATTAGTATATCTGAGAAAATATAACAGTTAGAGTTCTCAAATTTATTTTCTTTATTAACAACATGAATATTTAGGACAAAAAATAGGCGGACTAGCAATAGGGGGCGACGCACCTCCCATATGAATTAAATAAAAAAATTTGTTTATCTGAGAAACAATTAGAGCTAGAATTTTCAAATTTTGCAGGAAGAACTTTAAAATCCGTGTGAACATGTGGGGAAAAACGGGCGGACATTCTTTAGGGGGGCTTGGTACCTCCCATATGAATTAAATGCAAAAATTTGTATATCTCAGAAACTATTAGAGATAAATGTGAATATTTGGGTAATAAATTGGCGGACTAGCAATACAAACTATTAGACAGACCTGGGATAAGTGCATTAAATATGTTAATGCATTAACAATTTTTTCAACATTAAAAAAAATTTATGTTAATGAAAGTTTATTGCATTAACATTAACATGGGTACATTTAATGCATTAAATTTGCATTAACATTAAATATTTTTGAATTTAATGCATTAATTTTACATTAACATTAAATAATAAGTAATAAAATTAATGCATTAATTTTCCTTCTTTATCTATATGCAGTGTGACCATTTTGGCATTTTTGCAGCTAGATTTAGCATTTTTTATTTTGATTTAGCTGTAAAATTTTAATTTGGCATTTTATTTAGCATTTTTATAAAATATTTTTAGCATTTTAAGCTTTTTTTTTTGCAATTTTAGTATATAAACAAAAAAAGACAAATTTTTGCAAAAAAGATTTATATTGGAAATAGGTTTAACCGGAAAAAATCAGAATTAAATGTCTACCCAAACACAAGCAACAAGAAATATGAGAAACGTAACAATTTACACTGTAATTCAAAATAATGCAAAAAGATTCATGAAGATAAATAACTTAAAATTACGCCAATACAAGTGAATACTTTAAAATGTTGTATTCTAAAATATTTTTCTGGAACCCAAAGCTTTTTAAAATTCGAGGTGATAGAAATAATTCAAGAGATTTCATATATTTTTACAAATACGTTCAGTACGCTATTTTACAAACTAATACTTTTTGTTTGCTCATGGAATGAAACATATAATTTTGGAAAAGGCTATGTATGACAGTTAATTAACAAATTTTATTTTTTCCTATTGTGACAAACCTTTGACTGGGGGTGGAACTGGCACGCTGGTGGTTGCACGGCATTAGCTCGTCGGATTGGGGTCGGTTCTTTCCCACCCAGTTTGTCGACATTTAAATTTTCTCGTGCCTTCTAAGATTCCCAAATATCCTAAAATTAACACTTAACATAACAACTGGGACACAATGTAATGGTTTACCGTATATATTAGACGAACGGACGTTTTGACAGTAGCAGGTGGATTAATTCGGTGGTTAATTGTATCAGGAATCACTGAAGGTACGGTTGGAGTTACCTTCCCGGGATGCCCACCCCTGATATGGCATTATTTTAGCCATCCATGGTCCCTATGTACCCGTGTTTGAATTCGTAGGAACCCCTAAGTAAAACTTACCATTCGCCATGACTCACACCATTACCTTTCTCTTCTTCAGCCTTGCATTCTTATGAACACTTATATGCAAAACGTTTCAAATTTTAATCTTAAAAGTAAACATATTTTTTTTATTAATAGAAATTATCTTAAACAATTAGTTTCATACGGAAGCAATGCTATAGAAAAATAACAATTATCAAATAATCAAACAATAACAATAATAACAAATAATATATACAAATTTAAAAGAAAAATTATAATTTAAAGGCTAGATAGTGAAGATTTAACATGAGTCTAATAATTTTATGATATAGGTATGTGAATATGTATAAACTAAACAAAATATAGACTATAGTTTGCATAAGTTCTTTTTTTTTTTTTTTAAGTATCTACATATATATTATCTATTATTACATATATTTTCTTTTACTATATCATTTAAATGTTCATGACAGGATTTTGTATCGGATTTATTCATTAACTCATTTACTTATTTATATAGTTGTTTTTATGGTTATTTATTTCTTTACTTTATTTATTTATTTAATTAATTGATCAATTTATTAATTTATTTATTTATTCATTTATTTATTTATTTATTTATTTATTTATTTATTTATATAATTCATTAATTTATTTCAAAAAAAATTATTTTAAATAAACGTTTATTTAGAATATTATTTAGGTTTATATTTCTCTTAAGAGCATTGTAAGAAATCCGATAAATTAAGAAATTAAATTAATTGTTAAATCGAAATATTAAATTATTCTTATTATTATCCTATATGTTTGAGAACAATTAATGGATCAAATTATGGAATAATTTGTAAATTTGATCAATTAACTGTCAGAATCAAACTATTAAATGGTTTTAAGTTTGTTTTAACAAATTAGTGATATTTTTTTTGGGGTATATAATATATAAGTCTGTTCAATAACAAAATGAATTATTATGAATTATACCAAATTGTTTTATTTTTTTTTTATTTTTCTGTTTGCTCACCCAAATATAGAATATATTTGTATGAATGTTTTTCTTGTTTATTGTAAATAACTTTTTGTTATTGAACAGATCGGATATTAACAATTTTAATTAATGTATAATATAAAAAAAAATATGTATACATATTATTAATTTATTCAAATTTATATGTCTTAATTATTTTGAAAAAAAATAATGGATTTTGAATTAAAAGAAGGACTATGAATTACAATACAGCTTACAACACAAATTTGAATTATAATATTCTTTTCTCGTTTCAAAAAAAAAAATTTTGTGTAAAAGATTTTTTTTTTTTTTTTTTTTGGAACGATTTTGTATTCTTTTGATTTCCTTAAATCATATACTGTCATATAACGACATATACGCTAGTACACAACATACCACAATGACTTTGAACACGTTTTTTTTTCTGAAGGTGACCCTATGTGTCCACCACGACCTTCAGAGGTCGAATAGGTCATGAAATGTCAAGTTATGGTTCGACTTATACTACAATTTTAGGGCTTACCCTGGAAGTTTTGCTTTTCTTTAACCGTTGTATCTCAAATTCTGTTCCACAGTTTAAAATCGAGGTTAGTGGTTTGGGACTACCCTGTTCTACCTCTGGTTTCTGTCTGGGCTTCAAAAATAGTGGTTTTTCTGATTTCTCCCTCTTAAGGCGGACTTACACCGAACCGGTGAACAGTTGTTGTTGTCTCCACTAAGTTTAATTCGTTTAAATTTTCAGACCTAGATGACTCTGTGATCTGGTTTTTTTTTTTTTTTTGCAAACAAACAAAACTAAATTACCATTGATATTCCTAATCATTATCATTAATGATTTTATACAACACTAACAATACAGAACATGTTTTACAATTATATGAATATTTATGTTCATGTAATGTATTATCATATTGCATAATGTCGTTACTAATTTGTCGTCATATTAGTAACGATGTGTATTTACAAAAAAAAAAATTTTAAGAAATCGTTCTTACCTTTGAATGTCTTGTCAACGGTTTGAATCGGTTAATTTAATCTATTTAAAATAATTTTCTCCAACGGATTTGAAATTTTCCCACTATCTATTTGATTAAAGCAAAACTTCAAATTACACAATTTTGCATAGACTTTACACTCTAACTTCCATTTAATCAATGATCGATACAAACGTGATCATAAAGTATCGATGATCGTCAAAATCAATAATCTTCGGGTTTTTTTATGTTCTTTTCGTCTATCCAAGAGCACTGTAAGGTCATTCTATGTTCTTTTCGTAGTGTATATTACTGTGAATGACCTGAACCCTACTGCCCCCTATATGTCATGATCATGCTAATGAATGACGTTTGGCGTTGTACTAAAAAGTTAGGTCAAGAGCAAACCAAAAAAAATGGGAAAGAAGGGACCAAAACAAAACAAACAAATAAACAAACTACATTTCTCAAATTTTTGTCGTGAAGTTTAGAATTTTAATAAAGAATTTAAATAAGGAGATTTTTTTTTTTTTAAATCAGAAAACCGTCAGTAAAAAATGACCTATTCGGAGTGCTCTCCATGAAAGAATGGATGGAGTACGGAGAGTTCATCACGATAACTCGTTCTTTTTCCCTTTGAAGGCAGTATTGTGATGATAAACAACCAGCGATGTGGGTATGTGGTACTGAAAGGTGCTATTCCTAGTCAGGTAATGTTCCTTAAAACAAGGTGACCGTCACAAAGCCAGTGTTTGTTGCGCAACCTGTGTAGCAACAAAAACTGGGAACTGCGCAGCCGGGCACGTTGTGAATATCTAGGTACGTTTTGTGTTGCTGTAAAATTTAGGGCCTTGTTAATATTCCAGGTAAGTTTAAATAGTGTGAAGTCATTCATCTTTTTCTCTACAACCATTAAATGTAATTTGTATTCACACAGGTTCTATTATTCCTCCGATGTTAACATTTCTACAACTTCCCCTATATGAGACACACTAAGTTCTTTACCGTATCACTATGGCATTAAGTATAATTAGTTATATATTCCTATTGTCATATACCGTTCCCTTGTCCATTCATTAAATGCTAAACATTTTAATTTTCCCTCCAGGTAAATCTTTTTTCAAAAAAAACGTGGCAGATTTGAATAGTTACTAGGTCCTGTATACAATTAGGAATGTTTCGTGTAATCGCCTTGGGTTCTAAAGTTTGTTTCGGATTAGTGCTGATAACTGTGTCATAAGATGGTGAGTAAAATTTTCCATTTGTCTTTCTTTCGATTTAAGATACTACGATTTACCTATTCGTCTACTAAGTGCCGATTCTAATCGATTCAAACGCCTTGGATTATTCTAAAATTAATTGATTTACTATGCAAATATCTGTTTTTGAATTTTGCAACTAAGTCAACCAAATGCTAACTGAACATGATTATTCATATTATAAAGAAAAGCCTTGATACGTAGTGTTAGAAGATAGATTCGAAAATCTTTATTTTTGAGATCTAAACCAATCCATCAAAATGAAGAAATTTTAAACTGTATATGTTCCATACTAAATGTTTAGTAATCCTTCTTTCAAACCTATCTTTACTTATACTTCACCTAAAATCCTGTTGTCTGTAGGTATTTTGGTCATGTGATCAAATCTTATTTTTCGTTTCCTATATTCTCTAAGGACAGTTTTGGCATGTAAAACTATTGCTTGAGATGTTGGGCATGCATAATACCGATTAATTGACCGTTTAAATTCTCAACTTCATATTGATTAGATCCCAATTTTCTTCTTATCCTACACTTTAACCAGGGCTTACACAGTTTCGCATTTATGCCTTTTGCAAAATTGCTCTGTATAAAGTTTTTTCTAAAGATTTCTTGCCCCTCTCTAAATGTTACGTACTTGCTTCTTTTGTTGTAATTGTAGCAGTAGTAGCTGTTGTTGTTGTTGTTGTTACAGTTCTGTTTGGGGGAGGGTTAGTTTTAGGTTTGGCCTTAGATCTTAGTGCTCTTTCCTGTTCCATGATTGTTTAAATAAGAACTAGTATAACGAAAATGAGTTTTCTCTTTTCCTCTAAAACAAACTAATTTAACAATCCTATTAGGGAATCTAAACTATTTATAGTTTTTGTTTAATCAAAATAAGCTAATTTAACGATAAAAATGTAATATAAATCTTCTCCTAAGAGGAAACACTAAGCAAAAGAAAAGACTCAAGACACAAGCGTGAATCAAAAAAAAATAATAATAATAAACTTAAGCATAAAATAATGTACGAGAGTAATTTAGAATGACTAATTAAAATAAATGATTAAGTAAAAAATAGTTATATAAAAATAAAGGAACGATTTTCCCTTTTAACAACTGTATTGTGAGTTGATCGGTTCGGTCGTGTGTACTAGATTTAGTAATTATTTTCTTTTAAATTATAACAAGGAAACAATATTTTACACACTGTACAAATCTACAATATAATACCTGAAATGTTCTATCTTATTAGTTGTTATTTTAAGTTTTAGTTTTGTTATTTTTTTTTTTTTTTTTAGTTTTAAGCAAAGTAAATTGCTGTTAGTTAATTAATATATTAACTTTTTTGTTCTTTCAGATGTTGGCTGGTGTGAATCATCAAGTTTGGCTGGTAGTTTACTGCTGATTGGTGATCCTGATGATGTTTCTATCCCAAATTCTAAACATTTTACATTATTTTCCCTAAATTCACGAAATTAAGAAAATGTTCCGTATTTGCAGAAACATCTTTAAATCTTTAAATAATTTTCCTTAAGAAAGTTAAATAAAATTTTACCCCTGTTAGAGTAATGAAAATGTATGTTTTTTTTTTTTTTCGTAATTGGACTCTATTTCCTATCTACTACTGTCAAAAAAATGCGGACGAAATGTATCTATACTGGACAATACTATTATGGACTACTTATAGAAAACTCATCGCAACGAGTCTGTTAAAGTCGCTAATAAGCTCGAGACGTTATTGTCGTTTGGCCTATGACTTACTTTATTTTCAGAAACGTTTCGATTCGAATGTATAATGGAGTCAATGAAATATAACAAAATTTGAACTAATCAAATTTCCTCGCCGTGTGTTCGTTAGAGTCGCTAATAAACTTAAGACGTTTTAGTCATGACGGTTTATGACATACTTCAACGAAACACTTTGATTCAAAATGATTGGTTCTCCAATACTGTTATGATTACAAAACAAACGCCGCGACTCAGGCATGGTATGTTGTTTTATAACTCCTTCCGGGACATGCGTTTGTTGTATAACCATTACCTTATTGAAACTTTGTATGGCATTTTGAAAAATGCTCATACGTTGGGCGCCATAAATATGACAAACCTTTGACTGGGGGTGGAACTGGCACGCTGGTGGTTGCACGGCATTAGCTCGTCGGATTGGGGTCGGTTCTTTCCCACCCAGTTTGTCGACATTTAAATTTTCTCGTGCCTTCTAAGATTCCCAAATATCCTAAAATTAACACTTAACATAACAACTGGGACACAATGTAATGGTTTACCGTATATATTAGACGAACGGACGTTTTGACAGTAGCAGGTGGATTAATTCGGTGGTTAATTGTATCAGGAATCACTGAAGGTACGGTTGGAGTTACCTTCCCGGGATGCCCACCCCTGATATGGCATTATTATAGCCATCCATGGTCCCTATGTACCCGTGTTTGAATTCGTAGGAACCCCTAAGTAAAACTTACCATTCGCCATGACTCACACCATTACCTTTCTCTTCTTCAGCCTTGCATTCTTATGAACACTTATATGCAAAACGTTTCAAATTTTAATCTTAAAAGTAAACATATTTTTTTTTATTAATAGAAATTATCTTAAACAATTAGTTTCATACGGAAGCAATGCTATAGAAAAATAACAATTATCAAATAATCAAACAATAACAATAATAACAAATAATATATACAAATTTAAAAGAAAAATTATAATTTAAAGGCTAGATAGTGAAGATTTAACATGAGTCTAATAATTTTATGATATAGGTATGTCAATATGTATAAACTAAACAAAATATAGACTATAGTTTGCATAAGTTCTTTTTTTTTTAAGTATCTACATATATATTATCTATTATTACATATATTTTCTTTTACTATATCATTTAAATGTTCATGACAGGATTTTGTATCGGATTTATTCATTAACTCATTTACTTATTTATATAGTTGTTTTTATGGTTATTTATTTCTTTACTTTATTTATTTATTTAATTAATTGATCAATTTATTAATTTATTTATTTATTCATTTATTTATTTATTTATTTATTTATTTATTTATTTATTTATATAATTCATTAATTTATTTCAAAAAAAATTATTTTAAATAAACGTTTATTTAGAATATTATTTAGGTTTATATTTCTCTTAAGAGCATTGTAAGAAATCCGATAAATTAAGAAATTAAATTAATTGTTAAATCGAAATATTAAATTATTCTTATTATTATCCTATATGTTTGAGAACAATTAATGGATCAAATTATGGAATAATTTGTAAATTTGATCAATTAACTGTCAGAATCAAACTATTAAATGGTTTTAAGTTTGTTTTAACAAATTAGTGATATTTTTTTTGGGGTATATAATATATAAGTCTGTTCAATAACAAAATGAATTATTATGAATTATACCAAATTGTTTTATTTTTTTTTTATTTTTCTGTTTGCTCACCCAAATATAGAATATATTTGTATGAATGTTTTTCTTGTTTATTGTAAATAACTTTTTGTTATTGAACAGATCGGATATTAACAATTTTAATTAATGTATAATATAAAAAAAAATATGTATACATATTATTAATTTATTCAAATTTATATGTCTTAATTATTTTGAAAAAAAATAATGGATTTTGAATTAAAAGAAGGACTATGAATTACAATACAGCTTACAACACAAATTTGAATTATAATATTCTTTTCTCGTTTCAAAAAAAAAAAATTTTGTGTAAAAGATTTTTTTTTTTTTTTTTTTTTGGAACGATTTTGTATTCTTTTGATTTCCTTAAATCATATACTGTCATATAACGACATATACGCTAGTACACAACATACCACGATGACTTTGAACACGTTTTTTTTTCTGAAGGTGACCCTATGTGTCCACCACGACCTTCAGAGGTCGAATAGGTCATGAAATGTCAAGTTATGGTTCGACTTATACTACAATTTTAGGGCTTACCCTGGAAGTTTTGCTTTTCTTTAACCGTTGTATCTCAAATTCTGTTCCACAGTTTAAAATCGAGGTTAGTGGTTTGGGACTACCCTGTTCTACCTCTGGTTTCTGTCTGGGCTTCAAAAATAGTGGTTTTTCTGATTTCTCCCTCTTAAGGCGGACTTACACCGAACCGGTGAACAGTTGTTGTTGTCTCCACTAAGTTTAATTCGTTTAAATTTTCAGACCTAGATGACTCTGTGATCTGGTTTTTTTTTTTTTTGCAAACAAACAAAACTAAATTACCATTGATATTCTTAATCATTATCATTAATGATTTTATACAACACTAACAATACAGAACATGTTTTACAATTATATGAATATTTATGTTCATGTAATGTATTATCATATTGCATAATGTCGTTACTAATTTGTCGTCATATTAGTAACGATGTGTATTTACAAAAAAAAAAATTTTAAGAAATCGTTCTTACCTTTGAATGTCTTGTCAACGGTTTGAATCGGTTAATTTAATCTATTTAAAATAATTTTCTCCAACGGATTTGAAATTTTCCCACTATCTATTTGATTAAAGCAAAACTTCAAATTACACAATTTTGCATAGACTTTACACTCTAACTTCCATTTAATCAATGATCGATACAAACGTGATCATAAAGTATCGATGATCGTCAAAATCAATAATCTTCGGGTTTTTTTATGTTCTTTTCGTCTATCCAAGAGCACTGTAAGGTCATTCTATGTTCTTTTCGTAGTGTATATTACTGTGAATGACCTGAACCCTACTGCCCCCTATATGTCATGATCATGCTAATGAATGACGTTTGGCGTTGTACTAAAAAGTTAGGTCAAGAGCAAACCAAAAAAAATGGGAAAGAAGGGACCAAAACAAAACAAACAAATAAACAAACTACATTTCTCAAATTTTTGTCGTGAAGTTTAGAATTTTAATAAAGAATTTAAATAAGGAGATTTTTTTTTTTAAATCAGAAAACCGTCAGTAAAAAATGACCTATTCGGAGTGCTCTCCATGAAAGAATGGATGGAGTACGGAGAGTTCATCACGATAACTCGTTCTTTTTCCCTTTGAAGGCAGTATTGTGATGATAAACAACCAGCGATGTGGGTATGTGGTACTGAAAGGTGCTATTCCTAGTCAGGTAATGTTCCTTAAAACAAGGTGACCGTCACACTATACGAAATAAAGAGGTTTTAATTTTTATCATCCTTCAGGAGTTCTTGTTAATTTGTTGAAAATAAGTATTGAAAAAAATCAATAATATATAATTAAGACTTTCTCATCCTACTTTCTGTTCTTTTTATTTTTACCAAATTTTTAGTAATTTTGTTGTCACGTTTTTTTTTAATTAAAAAAAAAATACATAAATTTCGAAAATATTATTGACAATTTATTCCAGAATTACAAACTTACGGATTTGAATATATCTCTCAATTCATTTCATACATTCTCATATATATTTTTCCGAAAAAATCTTGGAAGTATGAGTTATAAACCTGACATCTATTCACCGAGATTTAAAATTATTTCAACGGAATTTTCAATATTTTTGTGACATGAAAACCATTTTTAAAGTGTTTTGAGGAAGACAAATAAAATTGTTTATATAAAAAAAGTAAAACTAGAAATATTATACTTTTCCTTCCGAAAACACATATAGGTTTTATACCATGAGCAACTAGTGTAATTAATAGAGTTTTAATGTAATTTTTGCATTCAGAAATATTTTAAAGTTAGAGACATTACATATTGCTAAATTTACAAAAATTTTGAAATAATTTTTAGCATTTCTGTTTATCTTAATACCACTGAACTTAATTTTTTGCCCTACTCCACTATACTACGTTTGAGTATACTAATCGGTTAAGAATCATTTTCTGAATCGATTATGCCATGTAAGTCTGACCGTCTGGTAGAGGTTGAAATTTTCAAAACAATAAGCACGTATGCTTTATTGATCCAATGACAAAACCTTTTAAAAATGGTTAAAGTCCGTCCTTTATTTTACCTAGCCCCCATACATATACAAATGTATAAAGCCTTTCTCAGAAAATTAGTTTAAATATATCGGAACCAAGGTTCAATTCAACATAAATGCTTTATTACGAAAAATAAATCAAATTTTATACTCATATGGTCAACCACGGCAGAATATACTTTCTTACTTGTTATGAATTACAATGAATTTCAGTTACAAATTAATATGAATTGTTCATAAAAACACTTACAAGATTTTAGCATTTTTTTGGCATTTTAAAATCAATTTAGCATTTTTTCTAGCATTATTTTGGATGGGATTTAGCCGCAACATTTTTTGAGACCTGGTCACACTGTCTATATGTATAAAAATGAATGTGTGTTTATTTGTTTGTTTGAAGTCTATAGACGGCTAAACGGCTGGATCGATTTTCTTGACTTTGACGTATATATGAACAAAATGGGATTGGCTATAGTGGGCGTGTCACCTCCCATATAAAAAATATTAAATTGTTATATCTAAGAATATATAACAGTTAGACTCCTAAAATTTTGTCGAAGCCACCTTAGTATCAATATGAATATTTTAGACAAAAATGGACTGACTAGCGATAGGGGGCGTGACAACTCCCTTATGAATATATGAATCTATATATTTAAAAATGGCCGGACGGATTTTCTTGAAATTTTTACAGTACTTTCCTGTATGTCTGGAAGGAACTATAGGCTACTTTTTATTTTAAAATTTCAAGTAGGCGAGTTGCCACGCCCACATACCCAATAAGTATTTAATGTCGCATCTATATATATAAAAATGAATGTGTGTTTGCATGTATGTTTGTTTGTTTGTGCTTTATAGACAGCTAAACGGCTGAACCGATTTCCTTGAAATTTCAAATCAACACAAGTGAATCATCTTCCGAGTATAAAAGTGTATTTATGGCATCGCTAGTTCCATTAAGAATTCGAAAGTATGCTGACAGCGAGTCTCCATCAACCAGTTTCGATGATATTTGGAAGAATTCGACTCCAGGATCCAAAGCTTTTTGTAGGCCAATAAGCTTTGAGTATATAAAGGAATCCAAAACAACAACGCAAGATTTGATAAATCGTATTGAAGCAAAAATTTAAAACTTGGAACCTATAACAATCGAAATAGAAAATTATTCGTTTAACATGTCCTATGATTTAAAACTTACAATGATTGATGGGAAAGTTGGAAATGCCATTACAGGAACATCATCTACTTGGTACTGCTACATATGTGGTGATAAAAAATCAGAATTTTCGAATATTTCCAAGCAAAGGTCAATAAATGAGGAAACATTACAATTTGGAATATCCCCCCTACATGCTCGCATACGATTCCTGGAACATTTTCTACATTTAGTATATGATTTAAAGTACAGAAGCATACCGGAAAATGCAAACAAAAGTGCAAATAACAATAAGGAGTTAATGGAAATGAGAGCCAGTGAGAAAAGAAGAATTCAAGAGGAATTTAAAAAGCGGATGGGATTAAATATTGATAAACCACTCACAGGATATGGAAGCACAAACGATGGTAATACCGCTAGACGTTTTTTCAAACATTTTGAAACTACTTCCGAAATAACCGGAATTAATATGGATTTACTGCAAAAGGTCAATATTATTCTAATGGCGATAAATAGCAAGCACAAAGTGAACGCAACAAAATTTGGAGTGTTACCGCCACTGTCTATTTAAATAATCAGTTATTGTATTTTGATTGTTAACTTCACATTCTAAACATTACTAAACACATCTTTTGTAAACGTCAAAATTTTATATGTATTTGTTGAGTGAATTTTTTATACTAATTATTTTATATTGTAATTGTAAATTCCACGCGGTTAATCATAAAATTGTCTCTCCTATAAATATAAGAAAAAGGTGTCCATTTTGTAAAAAAATAAGCTATTCAAAAGAATCGCTCTTGGTATACACACCAAAAAGAATTTTAATTCCGAGTATTTAGTTAAATAATATCAAGTTTAAATAAAAAACTATTTTTTCAAAACAATAAAAGCTCGGTTTTTACAATCTGTAGTGGAAGCCAGGAGCTTAAAAACAGCGACAACAACTTTTAAATTCTTTTTGATAATTGTTAAAACAACCCTTCATCACCTTTTGGATAATCTAGAAGAACAACATCTGGCCGATATAACGTAAGTCCTAATATCATGGATTCTTCATATTCCTTACAGGGTCAACCACCAAACCTTCACCAAATACAAAACCCAACCACAGAATCTTCTATCATCTGCAAAACATGTCAAAAATCATCAGACAACAATAGCGCCATATTTTGCGATAAATGTAAGTCAGCATTCCATTTAATATGTGCCAACGTAGATAATAGCCAACCTCAACGAACATGGCTTTGCCAGAACTGTTCTACACAACAACAAATATCATTTGATTCACCTCGTTCCGTTCGTACCTGCTCCTCAAACTCATCACGTGCATCCCATTCCCGTACACATGCCTTAGAACTTCAACGCCTGCAGGAAGAAACAAATCTTGAAAGAGAATTTATTCGGAAAAAATACCAAATTCTTGTACAGGCAAATGAAGACGATGGTGATATGCCGTCAGTATCAAATTCCGTACATGAGTGCCTAAAGGAACAACAGGATCGTACTGAACATCACACAAGATCTGAAAAACAAAATTTTAATGAAACAACATATTTTGCATATCCCGAACGAACTGCAGTATCAACTTTACCTATCACAACTTTATTTACCCAGCCAACATATGACAATAACGTAAGTACTGCAACAATTGCCCAACCCAGCTCTACAGTAAATTCATCAATACAGAACACAGCATCGAACTGTTCAACGTTTATTAATAATCCATCTCAAAATAATGTATATACTTCAAGACAAAGAATAAATGACATTTTAAATAATAATTCAAACATTGAAATTCAAACTCAAGTGCAACCAGAGCCAAATGTTCCCTTTACAGGTCCAGCGTTTCCCGTACACCCATATGTATCCTGTCCAAATATGGACTCATCTCATTATACTACAACAAATCAACAAACACGATCAGCTCCGCCAATGGATTTTCGTTACAATGAACCTACGTTTCATATGCACCCATCGTCTACCTTAAGGTCAAATAACCTCACACACCAACAAATGAATACACGGCAAACTGTGCCAAAAGATTTACCGACGTTTACGGGCTTGCCTGAAGAATGGCCACTCTTTAGCTCAACATACAATTGGTCCACCAATATTTGTGGCTTAACAGATGCAGAAAATTTGGTTCGGCTACAAAGAGCATTACGTGGAGAAGCTTTGCTATCTGTCCAGCATATTTTAATTCACCCCACTTGTGTACCAGCCGCTATGTCAACTTTAAAACTGCTTTACGGCCAACCCGAAAAAATATTAAGTTCTCTGAAAAACAAAATAAAATTACTGCCTGCTGTAAACTCAAACAAATTACACACAATTACTTCTTTCGCAGTTGAAGTTAAGGGTTTGGAAACAACAATTAAGGCTTCTGGTTTATTAGATGAGCTTAATAACTCTTCACTATTGCAGGAATTAATTGTCAAAATGCCATCTTATTTTCAGTTGAACTGGGGCTCACACAAAACAGAATTGATAAAGAAAAATAAAAAGGTAAATTTAACAGAATTTGCAGACTGGATTTATAACGTAGGAATATCAGCAAGCAGCGTAAATGTTGAGAGTAACAGTAGTATATTGACGTTGCACAGTGGGGCAGAATGGAAATTTTTTGGAAATAAATCTGGCATTTCTAAACGGCTGATCCGATCGGGATAAAATTTGGCGTGAGCGTAGCCAAGGAGTATTCGAGTTTAAGTTTTGAAGATGAACCCTGCAGATGCCCCAGGGACGGCGCTGTGGCGGCTCAAAGTAGGGTACCTACGACATGTAAAATTTTTAAACTCGTGCCATTTTTTTGTTTTTCACCCAAATACAAAGATTTTTATATTTTGTGAAAGCGCTCGACGAGATCTTGAAAAAACATGCTTGGACATACTACTTATCTCTTATAATATCCGAGTTATAGGCATTTAAAAATTTAGTGATACAAAATTTACCATACCTTGGTCCGCCTTTTTTTGAATACCGGGCGTAATTTTGGACCAAATGGACTCAATTTTTTCTTGTTAGTTAGACAACAAAATTTCCAATAATATACAAAAAATTTCAGATCAATATCGTTTACAGATCCAAAAATATACGTTTTTTAATTTAATAATTCAAAAAATTTTAGATTTTTGGCGTTTTTTTGCCAAAAATGTGTCTTAACTCTTTTATTAATAAAATAAATTTTTTATTAAGAACATATAACAATTTTATAGTTTTCTAAAAGGTATCTTTACGCAGAACGCTTTGGCGTAAAAAACTTGTCCTATTTTTTGAAAATGTTGCCACTGCGTCCTTCCGAATATGACCTATTTTTTATCAAAACTTCAACTTTGGGCGACATGTTCTAAAATCCCAAAGCTGGGATCAGAAAACTGAAAGCAGTTTTGGAAACCTCAATATGTTTTCTATTTACTCCAAAAGTATTTTCCCAGCCCTAAAAGAAATGTGGACCCTATGGGCAAAAAAGTAAAAAATCCCATTTTTGGGATTTTCATTCCTATTTTTGGGAATTGCGGGATGCCCTTTGACCTTTTCAATTTTTTTTTTGCATATTCTTATTTGAAATGACAAATTTAACAAGCGTTGAAAATTTCATTGAGTTTTGTTCATAAATAAAGATTTTGTCATATATTACATATTTGTTTAATTTCTAAAACTATGATTTATATCAACATTTTAATAGGATCGCAGATAGCTACAACAATTTACTCCATATTTATCCCTTAATATCATTTTTTAGTTAGATATGGAAATTCTCGACCCTTTACAAAAAATTTCAAGCCAATATCTCAATTACATTCAAAAATATGTTCATTTAAACCTGTGTCCTTTAATTTCATCTTTTTCATATTTTAGTATTAAGTATGACAGCACATATTTAAATCTTATATTTACCTATTTTCTATTTGTTTGCTTATCCTTATAATTGAAAGGTCCTATTATGCTTAAATTTTCAAAAATTTATAACTATTTTTTACCTAAATTTTTTCGACAGATCATTTCGTTCTGTTTCGTTTATGATCATGTAGGTAAAAATGTACAGGTAATGATAATTTCGATTCATTCACTAATAAGAAATATCAATGACTGAATTACAGGTTATAGTAATATAGTCCTAAATGTTAATAGGTAGACAATTCGTAATTTTTTACTTTGGAATACCTGTATTGGAAATGACAAGAATTGGTATATAAGTAAACTTCTCAGATTTTAAGTACCATATTTAATAAATCTACAATGAAGATTACATTAAAGTACGAAGAGTTGTGTTCCGTTTTATGGAGTATATCTTCAAAAGGGCCAGAAAGAATTGAAGACATTTCAAATTATATAAAAACTACATATAGTAGAAAAGTAGACAAAACAGGCATATCAAAAATTGAAAACTTTTTAAAACTTTTTGATGTAAAAAGTAAGTCTGTGGATGGAAATCAAAAGAAATTTCGATTAAAATTTTGTAGTTGGATGGAAACTACTACGGAAATCTCAACTTACAACACATCAATAGGAGCGCCTTGCAAGTCATACGAAGACTTATGTTCAAGGTAAAAAAAAAAGAGGGTCACACAAAAACTTTTTTCAATCTCAAATGAGGAAATTGCTGATACATTTAACGAAATGCTGAAAAAGGAAAACCAACATATGGATGTCGTACATATTGCAACTATTCTTCCTAATGCATCACCAAAACGACTTAAGCGAATTGTGGAAAGTATACCAACTCCAACATCATAATCAAATTTTACTGAAGAGGAAGCAATAGCGCTTATGTTGGAACTGGGTCTCAGTCGAAATAAGTACCAAATATTAAGAAAAGCTCTGCATGAAAAAGGACACAATATATTACCATCATACAAGGCGATCCAGGAAAAAAAAAAACAAACTATCCTACTAAATCAACAAAAAATAATGAAGAATTGAAAGAACTGAGAGCTGCGAAAAAAAGCAGAATCCAAGAAGAATTTAAAGTTCAGATGGGATTAAACATCGACAAACCACTTTCAAGTTGCGGTAGTACAAATGACGGTAATACGTCGAGAAGGTTTTTTCGTGATTTTGAAATTACTTCAAAAATAACTGGAATCGACAAGGAGTTGCTTCGAAGAGTTAAAACTATTTTAATGGCACTGAATAGTAAACATAAAATTAATGAAAATCAATTTGGGGAATACACATCTGAAATTTCTAAATTACTTGTATCTCTGTATCCATGGAGGGAACTAACACCAACAGTACACAAAGTATTGTGTCATGGTCAAATAATAATTGAATCGAATATTCTTCCACTTGGAGAGTTAACAGAAGAAGCCCAGGAAGCGAGGAATCGAGATTTTAAGCATGTTCAACTATTCAGCTCAAGAAAATGCTCCAGGCAATCACAGAATGAAGATATTTTTAATAGTTTACTTCTATCTTCTGATCCTGTTCTTTCAACTATGCGAAAAAGATGGATTTGTTATGAAACTCTATCATCTCAAAACAAGGAAGATTTAAAGGACTTATATTACCTTCTGGATATGTATACCGATATGACAGATTATTTTATAGAAAATAAGTAGTGTTAGGAATTAACTATATAAGTAGGTTGTAAGAATTAATTGTATTATGTTTAAGATAAACAGTTCAAATAAAAAAAGCTATTATACTAACTGATGATATTGTATTAAATTGTGTTTTATATTTCGGTGGGCGGGAAAGGTAATTTGTGTGGGGTGATTTAGGTGTTGTTGTGCGTGGCTCATAATAAAATTATAATTTTTTTTATTTAATATACAATATTATAATAAAATAATTAACTAAATAATTTTTAAAAATTGTCCAAATATTTTATTCAACACCAATGTATGTTCTGTCATACTTAATACTAAAATATGAAAAAGATGAAATTAAAGGACACAGGTTTAAATGAACATATTTTTGAATGTAATTGAGATATTGGCTTGAAATTTTCTGTAAAGGGTCGAGAATTTCCATATCTAACTAAAAAATTATATTAAGGGATAAATATGGACTAAATTGTTGTAGCTATCTGCGATCCTATTAAAATTTTGATATAAATCATAGTTTTAGAAATTAAACAAATATGTAATATATGACAAAATCTTTATTTATGAACAAAACTCAATGAAATTTTCAACGCTTGTTAAATTTGTCATTTCAAATAAGAATATACAAAAAAAAAATTGAAAAGGTCAAAGGGCATCCCGCAATTCCCAAAAATAGGAATGAAAATCCCAAAAATGGGATTTTTTATTTTTTTGCCCATAGGGTCCACATTTCTTTCAGGGCTGGGAAAATACTTTTGGAGTAAATAGAAAACATATTGAGGTTTCCAGAACTGCTTTCAGTTTTCTGATCCCAGCTTTGGGATTTTAGAACATGTCGCCCAAAGTTGAAGTTTTGATAAAAAATAGGTCATATTCGGAAGGACGCAGTGGCAACATTTTCAAAAAATAGGACTAGTTTTCTACGCCAAAGCGTTCTGCGTAAAGATACCTTTTAGAAAACTATAAAATTGTTATATGTTCTTAATAAAAATTTTATTTTATTAATAAAAGAGTTAAGACACATTTTTGGCAAAAAAAACGCCAAAAATCTAAAAATTTTTGAATTTTTAAATTAAAAAACGTATATTTTTGGATCTGTAAACGATATTGATCTGAAATTTTTTGTATATTATTGGAAATTTTGTTGTCTAACTAACAAGAAAAAATTGAGTCCATTTGGTCCAAAATTACGCCCGGTATTCAAAAAAAGGCGGACCAAGGTATGGTAAATTTTGTATCACTAAATTTTTAAATGCCTATAACTCGGATATTATAAGAGATAAGTAGTATGTCCAAGCATGTTTTTTCTCGTCGAGCGCTTTCACAAAATATAAAAATCTTTGTATTTGGGTGAAAAACAAAAAAATGGCACGAGTTTAAAAATTTTACATGTCGTAGGTACCCTAGTTTGAGCCGCCACAGCTCCGTCCCTGGGGCATCTGGGGGGTTCATCTTCAAAACTTAAACTCGAATACTCCTTGGCTACGCTCATGCCAAATTTTATCCCGATCGGATCAGCCGTTTAGAAATGCCAGATTTATTTCCAAAAAATTTCCATTCTGCCCCACTGTGCGTTGGCAGATCTTCATTCAAACAAAACAAGAAATGTACATGTTAACACACATGATGCACAAAGTAAAAGAAATTGCATAGTCTGTTATGAACATTGTGGCAGTGTTGGAAAATGTAAAAAATTCTTAGCAGCAGATAGAAATGAAAGGTGGAATTTAGTGAGAAAACTCAACCTCTGTAAACTTTGTTTACGTCGTCACTATGGTGTCTGTAATAGTAACATTATGTGTGGATATGATGACTGTAAAATAAGACACAATTCTCTTCTGCATAAAATAACATCTGATCATAGGGAAGAAAATGTAGAACAAGATGAAAATAAAAACAAAAATGTTAACGTCAACTTACATGCTGCACACAGTGGAAACAGTAGTGATAAAATTCTGTTTAAAATTCTACCCATAACTATATATGGTACAAATAATATTTGTTTAAAAACATATGCATTTATTGATGAGGGTTCATCAATCAGTCTTATTAACGAAAATATAGTGAAGACTTTAAAGTTGAGTGGTGATCCTGAGCCTTTGTGTTTAAAATGGACAGGCAATATGGGACGCAGTGAACACGATTCTCATCGTGCATTTGTGCATTTCTGGCCCTAATAAAGTAAAGCACTCATTACAAGTTCGTACAGTGAAAGAACTATCTTTGCCTAACCAAAGCATTAATTACAAAAATTTGTGCAGTCAGTATCCACATCTGAAAGGCTTACCTATATGTGATTATACAAACGCCATACCAAGTGTTTTATTAGGTATAAATAATTTGAAGCTTTGTGTACCAACACGTGTAAAAGAAGGTAAAAGTAATGAATCTATAGCTATTCGTACGCGCCTCGGTTGGCTATTATGTGGTAACTCAGTTGTACAACAAACAAATCAAATTGAATATAATTTTCATATATGTGATTGTGATCGTCATTATGACAGTAAACTTAATTATTTAATAAAAAAGTTTTATTCACTCGAGGTAGCTGGTATAGCTAATACAGCTCCTATAGTTGGAAAAGAAGAACAAAGAGCTATCCAGTTACTAGAAAAACATACTAAACAAATATCTAATGGCCATTATGAAACTTCTTTACTGTGGCGATATGATGACGTGAAATTACCCCAAAGTTTTGATATGGCAATGAAAAGATTATTGTGTCTTGAAAAGACTTTGAAAAATAATAAAGAATTGTTTAATATATTTGACAAAACAATTGAAGAATATTTAATCAAAGGATATATTACAAAAATTAAGCAAAATGTTAACGATGAAATTAGAGTTCCAAATATGTGGTATTTGCCAATATTTCCGGTGTTTAATAAAAATAAACCCAACAAAACCCGAATAGTTTGGGACGCGGCCGCGAAATCACATGGGGTTTCATTAAATAACTTCTTACTCAAAGGTCCAGATATGTTAGCGTCGCTTCCATCTATTCTTTTTAGATTTCGACAAAGAAAAGTAGCTGTATGCGGTGATATAGAACAAATGTTTCATCAGATCTTTATTCAGAAAGAAGATCGTAATGCACAGCGTTTTTTGTGGCGAGGCTGCAATGAGAATAAAGAACCAGATGTGTATATGATGAACGTGTTGATTTTTGGAGCATCATGCGCACCGTGTATATCACAATACGTAAAAAATCTACATGCTTCCAAATTTGAAAATGAATATCCTGAAGCCGCTGTTGCCATAAAAGACAATCACTATGTAGATGATTTTCTAGTTTTGACAGATAGTGCAGAAGAAGACAGTAAATTAGCTAAGGAGGTAAGATTCATTCATAATCAAGCTGGTTTTAACATTAGAAATTGGTGTTCAAATAGCGATAATGTACTACAGGAGTTAAAATCTAGTAATTCGAATAATAATATTTGTTTAAATATAAGTGATGGCATAGAAACAGAAAAGGTCCTCGGAGTATTTTGGATTCCCGGTGACGATGTTATCACGTTTAAACTCTCGTTATCAATTTTAAATAGTGAAATTTTTCTTGGACAAAAAGAGCCAACAAAACGTGAAGTTTTAAAAATTTTAATGAGTATTTACGACCCTTTAGGTCTAATTGGAAATGTTCTTATGTACCTAAAAATAAAAACCTGTTTCAGAACAACAATTTATAAAATGGAAAAACTGGTTAACATATTTACCGCACTTAAACAATATTAATATACCTCGTTGCTATTTACAAGTATTGCCAAATTACAACAACATTGATGTTCAATTACATACCTTCGTAGATGCTAGCGAATGGTTATGCTGCCGTGTCCTATTTTAGAATCTCTAATGGTAAAGAAGTTGTCGTATCATTAATTGGGTCGAAAACTAGAGTGGCACCGCTAAAATTAGTTTCCATACCTCGATTAGAACTGATGGCTGCTGTAATAGGTGCGAGATTTTCTAATACTATTATTCAAAGTCATTCTATCAATATTAATCGGAAGATATTTTGGTCAGATTCGCAAACCGTTTTGTCCTGGATACGCTCAGACCACCGCAAATATCATCAGTTTGTTGCCGTACGTGTAAGCGAGATTTTATCGTTATTTCTGAGATAAATGAATGGCTATGGATATCCGGAAAAAATAATGTGGCTGACGAAGCAACTAAATGGGCGAAGAAACCAGATATATAAAAATCTAGTCGCTGGATTAATGGCCCTGCATTTCTTAAGTTTCCAGAAAATGAATGGCAAAATAAAACTATAAATTTATCACAAACAGAAATGGAACTAAAGGAACACAATCTATTTATAGAAAACGTAGATACAATCATTAACATTGAGCGCTTTTCACGCTGGTGTAGAGTTTTAAGAAGCACAGCATTTGTAATTGGTTTTTGTAATCGCCTAAAAATCAAAAAAGCAGCTGAAAGTGCAGAGTTAACTCAAGATGAATTATTGAAAGCCGAATTAGTTTTGTTGAAACAAGCTCAGCAACAAAAGTTTTTTGATGAAATCAAATCCATTCAACAAAATAAAAAGTTACCAAAAACAAATTTTTTATACAAATTATCTCCTTATATTGATAGTGATGGTGTACTTCGTGTAGCTGGACGTATTGAAAATGCAGACGTTCCTGATGAATTAAAACATCCAGCAATTTTACCAAAACATTGTCGTATTACAAAACTTCTAATATTGCACTACCATAATATACATCATCATATTAATCACGAGACTGTCGTGAATGAACTACGACAGAGATATTATATTCCAAAGCTTAGAGTTGTGTGTAGATGTGTTGTACGAGAATGTCAGATGTGCAAAGTTATAAATGTTTTGCCTGTGTTCCCTCAAATGGCCAAATTGCCCAGAGCTCGCCTTGCTGCTTTTCGGTCGCCTTTCACCTTTACGGGGTTGGATTTTTTTGGCCCCTTGTATGTTACAGTTAATCGCCACAAGGAAAAAAGATATGGCGCCTTATTCACATGCCTGACAGTTAGAGCTGTCCATATTGAAATTGTCCATAGTCTTAACACAAGCTCATGTATTATGGCAATTCGTAATTTCGTAGCACGTCGCGGACAACCAAGAGAATTTTTCAGCGATAATGGAACGAATTTCGTAGGGGCTGAACGCGAATTAATGGAAGCAATAAAAGAGGTGAACAAAAATGAATTGGTTCGAAACTCGAGACCATTAACTTACGTCCCAATCGAAAGCGAAAATGGAGAAGCAATAACACCTAATCATTTTCTACTAGGTAGTTCAAATGGAATTAAGCCCCTTGCTACATATGATGATGACGGTATTATCTTGAGAGAATTTTGGTTACGTTGTCAGCAATATGCAGATAAATTTTGGAAGCGTTGGGTAGCTGAATATTTGCCAACGTTAACGTGCAGAACGAAATGGTTTGAAAAGGCTAAACCATTAGCTGTTGGAGAATTGGTGGTAGTGGTTGACCCTGCAAATCCGAGAAATGTGTGGCCTAAAGGGCGAGTCATAGAAGTTTACAAGTCCGAAGATGGCCAAGTACGTAAAGCGAAGGTTATGACGACTGGTGGTATTTTAGATACCTGCAGCTAAACTGGCAATCTTAGACGTGGCTCAACATAAGGAGTAAGCTTTCAAAGTGCCTTTTCATCTTACTGGGGAGGGGTGTTACCGCCACTGTCTATTTAAATAATCAGTTATTGTATTTTGATTGTTAACTTCACATTCTAAACATTACTAAACACATCTTTTGTAAACGTCAAAATTTTATATGTATTTGTTGAGTGAATTTTTTATACTAATTGTTTTATATTGTAATTGTAAATTCCACGCGGTTAATCATAAAATTGTCTCTCCTATAAATATAAGAAAAAGGTGTCCATTTTGTAAAAAAATACGCTATTCAAAAGAATCGCTCTTGGTATACACACCAAAAAGAATTTTAATTCCGAGTATTCAGTTAAATAATATCAAGTTTAAATAAAAAACTATTTTTTCAAAACACTAAAAGCTCGGTTTTTACAATCTGTAGTGGAAGCCAGGAGCTTAAAAACAGCGACAACAGAGAGTATTCTACAAAAGTTTCTAAATTACTTTTGGAATTATATCCCTGGAAAGAAATGACACCTACAGTTCACAAGGTCATCATAGAACATAATATTCTGCCTTTAGGAAAGGTCATCATAGAACATAATATTCTGCCTTTAGGAGAGCTTACAGAAGAACCCCAAGAATCGAATCGACTTTAAGCATATTCATCAGTTTAGCTCAAGGAAGTGTTCTAGGCAGTCTCAAAATGAAGATATTTTTAATAATCTGATTCTATCTTCTGCTCCTGTTTTATCTTCTGTAAGGAAACGTTGGATTTGCTACAAAACGTTAGCATTTGAAAATATTCATGAATTTAAAGATTTACTTTATCTTTTAGATATGGACTACTGTCTATTTTTCAAAACTGTATATAATTTTTGAAAATTAAAAAATTCGCGGAATACTTTTTAAAAAAAAATAAAAAATGTTTTTTATTCAGTTTTTGCGAAGATACAAATTTTTCAAATTGCAATAAAAATTTTATTTATGAATATTTTTTGATGAAATTTTACAGTTAGGTAGATTTTTTTACTCAAAATCCAAAATTAAATAAAAAAGTTTTAAAAAATCTCAAAAATGGGATTTTTTGGTTTTTTGCCTATTATATCCATACCAGGGGCGGGGTTATCGAAACCCGTTACAAAATGATTAAGAACATATTGGGTCGTATAAAACAGGTCACTATAATTTGATATCGACTATGCGATTTGAGAATTTTTGCTCAAAATTGAATTTTCCATAAAAAAATAGGGTTTTTTTGGATGGACCTGGTCCCCTCGGTATCAAAAATTTTTAGGTTTTGTTTCATTTATCGTATTTTATGTAAAGTCAGCTTTCCAAAAAGTATAAAATTTATATACATCTTCTTAGAAACTTTTTAGATAACTTAAAAAGAAAAAGATACTTTTTTCCCAAAAAAATGGCAAAAAATCGCCTTTTTTTAATTTTTTAAATTAAAATGCCTATAACTTTGGACTTAGTCATGATTTTTACATAATTCTTTCACTGCTTGATATATAAACTTATTGTTAAGCGAATAAAAAAAATGGCGAAAATCGGGAATATTTGGACCCGCTATTATCAAAAAACTAAAGTAAGGACGGTAAAAATTTTAAAATTTTAATTTTCAAATGCGAATATCTCCTAAACTATAAGAGATAATTTACTGCTACGATGCTCGATGAGGAGATTCTATATACGAAATTTTTTTTAAATCGGAACTCAAATGAAGAAATAGGATCGTTTTAAAAATTTAACATAGCCGAGGTGTCCTAATTTGAGGACCCCCCGCCGGGCCCCTGGTTGGCCTATAAGGTCCAAATTCAAAACCTAAACTCGACAACACCTCCTCTTTGTGCATACCAAATTTCATTAAAATCCGTTAGAAGTTACCGAATTATTTCCCTCTTTTTTTTTTCCTATACCACTGTGTATCGGTTCATAATCGACGCATATAAAGGTCCTCTTCAGAAAATTACTCATACGCACACGGTTTAAAAATTTTAATAATATTTGTTAGTTCAAAAGATCTCGGTCCATATTTGACTTAAATAGGTAGGTAGGTAGGTTGATAGGAGGATGTATATTACATCAAATCCGAAGAAATACACCTAGGCCACTATCGGGCCTGTTGTGCGCTCCAATTCATGTTAGTCAGGAATGTTATTTCCGGAATAACATCACTTCCAAGATACTTGGATCTAACTTCGACGAATGCCTGGCAGTGGCAAAGAAAATGCTCCAGAGTTTCACTGTCCTCTCCACATGCTCTACATTCGTCTGAATCCGCACGTCCAATTTTGCATAGATGTGGTCGTAATCCTGTGTGTCCACTCAGAATACGTACCATCATACTAACTTCAGACTTGCTCATTTTGAGGAGATTTTTCGTCTTGCTCTCATCAGGGTCACCCTATAGGATCTTCGTGGGTCTACCCACTCTTTCTTTATTCCAAGAGGCCTTATGGGATTCTCTCACCGATATTTTTAGTTCAGCTTTTGTTGCGTCGAATGGTTTCGCGTTTGTCAGGTTAACTGCCTTGAGCTTCCTACCTTTTGAAGCTATTACATTCGCCCTTTCGTTACCGACTACTCCCGAGTGGCCTGGTACCCATATGATGTGAAGTACCAGTATTCTGTTAAAGCGTTCTTACAATCCAATACGTTCTTAGATTTAGTTATATCGCCTGATATCGCCCTAATTGCCTTCTGGCTATCGGTAAGTGTATTAAGCGCTGTGGGCGCCATATTTATTCTAATCCAATTTACGCATTCCGTTATTGCTCGTACTTCTGCCTGGAAGCTTGTGTTATGATTTGGTAAACGGTGGTATATTTCTGTTTCTGGGTCTTCAGTATAGAATCCCATCCCCACTTTGTCCCCTAATTTAGAGCCATCCATGCAACAATGGATTCCTACTAGTATTTGCTCTAATGTTCCGCTTGACCAAGACATTCTATCTGGGATCAGCGTTTTAAAGTTTCCGACATATTATGTGTCTGGTATACGATCAGGCACGTCCGATGATTGTGTATAACCTTCCAATGTGTCCAGTATACATTGATGACGTGTCCTATAACCGCTTTTGGCCAGTTCGCCTAAAGTAAAGAGCCGTTCGGCTGTAAGCGCCGCCTCATATCTTATATATGTTTCAATGGGTGGAATATCTAGCAACGTTTCCAGAGCCTTGGTTGAAGTAGTACATATGGCACCACTTATACCCAAGCAGCATGTACGCTGAACTCCCTGTAGTAGTTTGATATTGCACTTTTTGTCTCAAGCAGTCCACCAGATTATTGAAGCATAAGCTAGAATTAGTCTAATTACACTTTTATAAAGCCAATTTGTCATAGTAGGACTAAAAATCCATTTCATGCCTATAGTTCTCCTACATATCGCCCAGCACCGATGTGCCTTGTTGATCCTATCCTCTATGTGGTGTCTCCATTTTAATTTCCGGTCGAGGATTACACCTAAGTACTTAACTTTGTCTGTCACTGGTATCTTCTTGCCCAGGAAGCAAGGTTCAGTATACGTAGAAATTTTTGTCTTTCTTGTGAAAAGACAGATTTACGTTTTTGCCGGGTTAACATTGAGGCCTCTCGGTTGCGCCCAGCTCAAGGCCGTATTCAGCTCTTCTGTATTAAAAGTATTACGACATCGTCTGCATAGCAGACAGTCCTTTCTCGGTTTGGGTCCTTAGGAGGCTATTAATCGTGGTAACCCAGAGTAAAGGTGACAAAATGCCACCCTGTGGTATACCGCGGGATACCTTTTTCCTGATAGTTATATCGTACATCTCGCAGCTTACCCATCTGTTCCTTAGCATGTGGTTGATTCAGTTACGGAGCACCCGGTCAACATAAAACTGGTCTAGGGATTGGATAAGAGTATCAGTGTGCACGTTATTGAAGGCGCCTTCGATGTCAATACATACCGCCAGTGTATATAGTTTGCTATCAAAGGATGCACCTATGTAGTGGACAACTTCGTTTAAAACGGTTTCCACCGATCGTCCCTTTACAAAAGCAAGCTGCTTAAATTTTAGGTCTTTGTCGGGTGCACTGCTTTTAATCATATTATCGACTATCCCTTCCAAGGTTTTAAGCAGGAATGACGTAAGACTTTTCGGTCGATAAGACTTAGGTGTCGAATAGCTAGGTTTCCCTGGTTAAGGTATAAATATTACCCTTGCATCCAGCCATTTAATGGGGGTATATATGAATTTCAAGCATGCAGTAAATATCTGAGACAGATGTACGGAAACCAGTCCCGCCTCCATCTGTAAGAGTGCCGGGAAAATGCCATCCGGCCCTGCAGCTTTATAGGGAGCGAAGCTCTTGATTGCCCCTTTAACCATATCAGATGTAATTACAATGTCCGTGTTAGCCTCCCCTTCGTCCAATATCGGTTCATCTATGTTATTCGATATACCGGGTGGGAAATGAGAGTCCATTAAGAGTTTCATTGTCTCCTCCATATCCTCCAGCCTCCTGCCTGTATCATCGACCATAGATTCCGGTTGGACATGAGTTTTGGATACGTCATTTACGCTGTCTACCTGTTCACAGAAAAGTTTCTAGGAGTCTCGTTTGGCTTTACGAACAATTTTCTTATATTCACCAAGTTTACTACGATACTCATCCCAGTATACTGCGGTCTTTTTACGCCGTGCCCCGTTAAATAGTTTGCGAAGAGTCTTACCAAGGTTCCGGATCTCCCCGGTTACCCAGGGTTTCTCCTGGGCAGATCATCGCTCTCGCAGAGGGCAGCTGTCCTCGAACGATTCAACCAAGGCACTTGTGAGCATTTCTACTTTGGCGTCTATGTCTTCTTTATTTCGACATTGAAAAGTGTCCCGACATAAACGGTTCTTTAGTAAGGAACCGAACATTGTCCAATTAGTTTTAGACTTATTCTGAAACTTTATCGGCTTTGGTGGCGGTCGTAGTATTTTGAATCTTATGTACCGATGGTCAGAAAAGTAGTGCTAGTCCGAAACT